CCACCCTCCTAATGTGGAATAATAGCCATCCAACCATGAAAGCAGCCAGTATTTAAGTAAAATTGCAAACATGTTGCTATCACTGGAATATCACTGCATACACAAAGAATACGTGTAGTAGCTAAAGAGATATGGCCTCTGCTCTTCACTTGTTTCTGAATAATCCTCTGCATTCTCAAGCTAATTTGATTCTCTTCCCTTCCTTTACTAAAGTTATTTATAGTTGCCAGTGCATCCATTTCTTTCCCTGGGCACTTCTGGACAAATCTTACATACACAACTGTAAAATAGGCCATTCTTCTACCTCCCACCACCTTGCAGCAAATAATCGGCATACCTGCACTAACAACAGACAACATATGAGCTCAAAACACACTTAGGATCTTTAAGAACTTCTCCATTTCCTCATAGGCAGGAAAACAAATGATCCAAGGGATATGGCTCCCCAAGTCAGTAGTTTTAGTGGCTGTTGTGAACTGAGGAGGTTTGGGGAGGATGGGAAGTCCAGAGCTGAGGGACATTCTCGTCCTTTTAGTCTGGGAACTGCAGCTCGGGCACCTCTGCTGTTTGCAGCTGTGCTGATATGGCCAGATAGTACCTTTTGTGTGAGGAGCAGTAGATACAGCTCCCATCATCAGCCAGAGCAGTCTGCAGTTTAGTAGAGTAAGCATTTAGTAGGTAAGCTAGCTCTTCAAAGACAGCTGAATTGGGCAGCGTATTTGTGCAATTTGATGACTCTGAATATGTACCACAAAGATGATTCTCATAAGCAGAACTGTAGCAAAAGCTGCAATTTAAATGACCAGAAACAACTTATTTACTTTAACTGTTTTAGAATAGGTAAAGCAGTGTTATGCACATCATCATCCAGCTAAGGAAATGCAGTGCTTAACCCAAAAAGTTTTTTATTTCCTTTCAAAATTAGGTTCTCTGGAGGAGTAACATGATGGCGAAAGGCAGGCCATCAGTGACAGCGTTACAAGGTTCTCGTTTCAGGAATGAGCACATTTCCTGTGCAAACTAGTCTTTACTCTGCAATTTGGAATCTGACTTCATGTCCATCTTCTCAGTGCACAGGTACCCTGCTGAGATGAGTTTAACACATCTATAGGTAAACACTTCTCAAAGGTTAAGGCTGAGCTCCATGGCAGTTCTGCTCCTGGCAATATTAAAATATTTTATCAACGATTATACTACAAGTGGAGGCTTGTGGCCAATCCCAATGCAAAGCCAGCAACTGTCACATTATTTCCTAGACGAGACTGCCCTGCTGAATCTGAGACTGACGGTATTACTGCCTCAATTATCCATTTCAATTAATGCAAATATAGGCGGTAGTCTTAGAACAGCAGAGTAAGAACTGATCGCTGAATACACAGTCACAAAATATAAGGCTTGACAAAAGAAGTAAAAAAGAGATTAGATTTAGTCTGTTTCACATATTCTTAAATCAGAGATAGGAAAAAAGATGTGGTATTGTCTTTACAATAATAATTATATTCTATAAAAATATTAGACAAATCGTGTCATTAGAATTTTTATTCTTTGATGTTCTTCTGCAAGAAGCGGAGAAGTGTTTGATTTTGAGCAGCTACTGGAGTGCTCAGCACCATCTTACTGACACCTCTATCTTTTCTTAGTAAAAATAATGCAGACAGAGTGCTAGGCTTGAAGAGAATACGCAGTCTACTACAAAAAATTGTATTAAAGGTAACAGAGGCAAATAAAAATTAACTGACTTGCCCAAGATCACATAGGAAGTCATGGCAGATTTTCTGAGCCATGGGAACCTTCTGTGCTTTATCTATGAGAGCCTGTCACTGGTAACAAACTTGTTAGTTTTTGACTTGAGCTTTTCAATATAGAGCAGGGACATTCCTTCAGTCTAGTCAATGCCTTAGTGGCCATTCATTACAGAGATGGGTGTGGGAGCAGATAGGCATTCACCTTCCAGAAGGTTACATATTGCTATTCCCCATATTTCTGCAGTAAAAAGGAGAGAATTCTGTATTTCATACTGAGTAAATAGATAACTAAATTTTATCTTGCTATAATGAACTCCATCTATACCTAACAAATGCTAACTATAGGGAAACTGTAACAGAATATATTTCTTCCGTTTTCTATGTTAACAATTACATTCCTTTATTGAGCCAGCACCACGACTCCTCAAAATCTGTTAAATGCTTATGAATTCTATCTTTCATCATGAGTATAAATGAACAGAATTCTAACATAAACCCAAAACTTCTAAGACATCTCAGGAAAATTAATTTAAGAGTGATTGCATAAATTTTTTTATTAGAAGAGAGTGGAATCTTACCTGAAATCCATCAGCTACATTTATCTGTCTGATGCTGTTAACATAGTTTTCTGACTGACCATTGACACTATTCAGCCTAAAGCCACTAGCGATGAAAGAGGCCCAGAGCATGTTAGAGGAATGGGTGGGAGGACACAACGGGTGGGACGCAAAAGCAACCATGGGAGAGAAGGCTGATTGAGGTGAAAGACAGCACAGAAGAGTGGAGAAGTTTAATAGTCTGCAGTGGAAAGAGGCTTGCTTATGTATCATGGCTAGAGATGACAAATCTGCTCTGCAGGGGACCTGGGATGGCGGCTTGCTGTATGTACTGAGATACAACCACTTGTAAAAGCTGTTTGAAAGATCTTGCTTTCTTGTAAGAGAAAAGCAGCGCTGATATGGAAAATCTGTCATTCACATACCCGCCAGCAAAAATAACAGTTTATGTTCAGGTCACAGTTTGAAGGTTAGCTATACAACCTTAACAGCTGAAGTACTTTGTAAGTAAATAAACAAAAGTTCAACATAATTCAAAAACCAATTCCCATCTCACTGCTGAATTTTACGTTTGGTGGTACGCGAGCGCCTGTTCACACGCACAGAGAACATCACCCACTGAATATGTTTATCAATGGATCCTTCTATGGTTCAGTTCCTTTTCTCACAACTAACATCTTTTTTTCCACCTCTGTTGACCCAGAGTTCATCAGCAGGTCAGTGCTAAGGAAAAAGGTAACAACCAGTATTGAAAGTGTAACCCTGTCTATTGCTTAGATTCTGGGAACTTTAACCTCTGTTTGGAAAGCGTGACTAATAAGATGGAACAAATATTCTCCCAAGAGATGTAAACCATGCGCCAACTTCAAAATACAAAAAATGCTTGCATGTTTTTTTTTTTTTAAAGAGGAACCTTTTTTTTTTTTTAAGATGACTGTATACGTAACATTATGTAGTAGTTAATGGAAGGCTGGAGTGCCAAGGCACAGTATGGAATGGTATTCTTCTGAACTCTACTTCAGTTTAAAGGAACTGTTGAATATTTTAGGGTTTTTTCTTCTGAGTGATTATTTTTTCTGAAACACCTATTATGCAGTAACAGGATTAAAATATACATTTCTTAGCATAGCAGGATAAATATTAAGCAAAATAATTATTGAAAAGAATCTTTAATTTACATTTTTTTCAAATGTAATTAACCCCCCAAACACTAATTCCACAAATGTCTGAATGAACTTTAAGTATGTGATTTCTTTGAAACAAAGGTGAATTTTCTCACCTGAGCAATTTTCTCACCACGTTGTTCTCTGTTAATAACTGAGAATTATGAATAATAACTGTTCATACATTGAAGCTTTCAGCATCATAATTTTATTGATTTGAAATATTTGGAGTAGACTTGCATTCAAGCACTGCTGTTCCCAAGTTTAAGACTGTGTAGCAAGAACATTGTGGTGTTATTTGCTTCTTACTTTCCTTTTCTTAATTTTAGTTTTGCTTTGTTCAACATTAGTATTACAAGCTTGCAGGTTTTGCTATTGTAAGGTTGAGACCCACCCAAATCACTGGACACTGAATAGCCCATGGTATTTTGTCTGTCTAGAGCATTGATTAATAATTTCTCATAGAGTGGTTTTACAAACTGGTAGGCTTGACACAATGATGTTTGCAGTTACCGTATTGCCAACAGGCTTCAAACAAGATTAAACAGTTGACATGTTGATCACTGAGGATATTAAAATTTGAGCAAACAAAAACTGTAGGAAGAAAGAATTACTGTCCCTATTTTACAGATGTGGAACTGAGGAAGATAAAAAGAACAGTTTGTTGAAGGCTACCTGACCTTCAAGAACCTGCAAATGAGCCCTTGTCCAGTACTGCTAAAGAGAATATTATTCCTATCCAGCAGAATCAGTGGGGTGGCTGTTCTCTGCATCAACTAGAACTCACCCTTCCTGCTATAACTGTAACTGCACTTTTCAGATATGGCAGCACTCTATTCCAAACTCAAATTGCTGCTTTAAAATTCTTTTGAGGCATGCAGCTGTGCATTTAATCGCTTGTTACCAGTACTCTCCGTGGTCAGTTTAGTTTCTGTGGGTTGTGGCTGCAGTACAACTGTAAAAGCCACAAGCCTCCAGACTGAGTTTAAAATCTGTGGTTAAAAGCATGCTCTTTGACTCTATGATAATTGGGAAATAGAAGACATATCTTTTAACAAGCTAGAGAAAAACCCTGTATCTCGTCCTAAAGCACATTTCAAAACATGTTTTATTTATGCTTGGCAGTGACTACAGCGCTTTTGGGTGCTATAAAAATAAAAGTACCCATGGGAGACAGGTTCTTGGGGGTCAGCATAACAATCTGCAGGGAGCACACCCATGCAGGAATGACTTATGTACAACATTGCATGATACAGAGATAGAAAGCTGTTGCATATGAAAGAAGAGGCGAGCCCTATGGCAACAGATGACTCCAACCACAGTCTTTACCGTAAGTTTGTTTACCTCCAGTTCTGTAAAGTGGGCATCTTTATGGGCATCTAGTTCCTCCCTAAACAAAGTGGTATCATACCGTGTGGTACCAGTTCTCCACAAGACTGCAAGAAATCTTCAGATTTTTCTATATTCAAAATATTACTACACACTAACAATAAATAGTAAAACAACGATTTAAATATTGAAACACCTTACTATACCTGACATATTCTAATTGCTTGGTCCAGCACTGTCTTTGTATCAGTTGCATAATCTGGACAAGGCAGCATGGCATGACTGAAGTGGGCTTGCAGCAGGAGGTGTGTTTTTGTGTGTGAACTGTCAAATGAATGGGGATTGACTTCAATTGGAAGATGTTTTGCCAGTTCACTGTTCATCTGATCTTCATTGTGTCTCACAGGCAGATCTGTGTACTCCTCAGCATTCTTTAAAAGAAAAAAAAAGAAAAAATTAACCATTGTAATTAACTTCACAATAATTATTATTCCTTACTGAGACATTAAAAGTATATGCATTTAATTTACTACAGTTAGATTTCATTGTTAAAATAGCAGCATTTTAATGTTTAGAAAGCGTACTTATTTATCAAAATCATGTGTGTGAGAAAACAATAGCTAGTAAAATATTCACACAATTATAGGTTTTAAAATTTTTTTCACATAGCTGATTTTAACATTAGAGAAGAAGAAAATAAAAGCAGTGAAATAAATACATTCATTGGATGGACTCAGTATTTGAGATGATGTTCTACAGATATCCCACCCTGGTTGGCTCACAAAACCACTGTAACGTTAGCTATAAAGAAGTCAGTAACTCACATTTTCAGTTTTCAGGGTTTCTACTTTTCTCTTTGTATTCAAAACACAGTGGGTTTGAAATAGCTCTGGTAAGGTTCTTTTAAAATATATTTTCAATATTTTGAGCAGTCAGTGTCTAAGCAACAGATGATCAGCGATCAAAGCAAAGAGCAAAATTGTAAGTAGGTGCTGAAAACTATCCTCTGTGCTCCAGAGTGGGACTAATACCATTCATGCCAAAATGAAAGCTGTCTAGGAATTTTCTCACTGTTGCAAAAAGGAGCTGCACACCAACAGGTAATGTAAATGTAGTTATGAGGAGCAACATCTCCGGGGCTGAGAGGAACAAGTATGACTGTTCTAGTAGCCAGAGCAGAGATGTTCATTCTCCTGCTAGGGAAATCCACTGTCAACAGAAGCATCCTAAGAACTATAATTTAGGGTGAAGAGTCAGTTCTGTGACTTAATTGGTAATTTTTTTTCCTCCACAAAATCCTCTTGTGCATGTATGCATACATATTGTTGTTTGGAATGAGAATGATCTTTCTAAAGTATAAAACTTGCAAGTAAATTAAGAGTTTTATAATATGTGATATTTTTTCCATCTGTAATTTAAGAGAGTGTATTTCTTTCGTCATAAAATAAAAAGTTATTTGGGTAACCCGAAGGGCAACGTCTTCCGAACTACGGGCTTAGCAGAGACCATTAAATTAAAGCGTTCAGGGTTTTATATTCCTCTTAAACTGTAGATGCGATATTATGCATTTCAGTCTTCAATCTCCAGTCAGACCTCCTGTAAATCCGTATTAATGAAATATTCACAACAGTAACCAATGCAGAGTGAGGTAAAGAAAAATGGCAATTTTGGAACACCTAATAGAACTACCTAATTGACTTGCAAAGTACTGATTCCACTCATTAATACCCTAACACATAGAACCTTTTCTGACAATTCCTAAAAACAGTTATATAGCTGTTTTTCACCTCCTTGGAAACTGATAGCACAAAATTTTCTATTTTCTTTAATGGCACAATGAAACTACACCTAAACTGTGATATAAATGTAAACAGAAAGATAGATATTACACAATTTAAGATTTGGAAAGAAAATCAGAATGTCATTAATTTATTTCATATCTCGACTGCAGATTAGAAGTGAAGACTGACTAAAGACAACTGCTGCTTAATCCTGGATGTCTCTGATAGATCTCTTGTGAAAACTGTGGTCATTTATTCTCTGAACCTAAGGTCACAATCTTTTTAAGCCCTATAGAAGACTGCATGTTTGCTTCACTCTTTTTATTTAACTGGCTTCTCCTTCAAAGATATTTTAAAGAATATTTACCAAGGAGATTTTTTACTTAGTTTTGCTTTGCAGTTTAAAGTGGCAGAAAGAAGGATCAGCCAAGTCACTCCAGACCATTTGGTGCTCCTGAAAATGCATTTTCCCTAATTCTTCCCCAGCACATGTTTTATTTACCTGCAAAACACTCCTCTTATTTTAAACAACTTGCCTACTTAATTTCCTGTTTGTGATCATTGACTGTAAGTAAGTGAGGTTCATTTTCTTATCTGCATCATGTAGGTAATTAAAGGAAATTGAGAATGGGTAGTGAAGCTTTTATACAACTGAGAATGAAGCTGAATGGAGGGCACCGAGGTCAGCAGAGTCCATTATATTTTTATGTGAGAGGCCAGTATGTCTGCCCTGTCCTTGTTTGCTTAGTGTAGGCTGGACAGACTACTAACTGCAAATCTGTTTCTCTGATTTGCCCAGCTGTCCTTGAATAAAGACATCTTCCATTGCAAAATGTTAAATGACAGTGATTGACAACTCTGTGATGAACTCGGCTTGTAACCCCCTGCTACTGTTTTCAGGTTGCACAAGAAAAGGCAGAATAAAGAAACATCCTTTGTAATCACCTCAAATGGGCCCTGCTGTTCACTCAATATTTTTTCATTTTAGTTTTCCTTTTCATTGTGAATCTCAATCTGTTCTGCAAAGGCTATAGCTTCAACTATTCCACACAATATATAATATATATTATTTTAGTACATTGTATCTGAATACCGTTCTTACTTCATGGGTGAGGAAACAGATCAAATTACGTATCAATCATTAATCTTCATTCTAAAGTCAAGAAACTTAATACAAACTTTATACTTAAACCAAAAAGCACTGCTGTGCATTTTTCACTTTCCCTTTTTCTTCTGTTAAATCAGGTCTATTGCAGCCCACGTGCGAATAATACGTTTACAAGCACCTACACAGTTAAGCATAACTTGGGAGTGTACCAGGAGATAACTAGGAGTTTTAGCTATGGGTTCTGCAATCACACGTTTGGTACTCATGCCACATCTCTCTTTTCTATAGGTCTGTGATGGATTTTCAAAATAATGTCTTCCTTTGGGCATTAGAGACTGCTGCATCATTTTGAGGGTGTAACAGTCCTCTCAAACCTACATTTCAACCTGTATGCGATGCAGGGTCATATAGGAGACAGTAACTTGCTTTGCCAGTGAGAAATGTCACACGTAGACCTGCATAAACTTGATAGTTACATTTTACAAGGCCAAAAGGCTATTCTGATAATTGAATTCTGTTTCTTGCATAACACCAGCCACAGAATCATCTTAAGAGTCCTGTCTGCAACATCATGTTCCAGATATGCAGCTTATCATCACCCTTTATTTGAATTGTTAGAATTGTTCTAAAAGTAAACAACTCATCCCATTTTAAAATATATCTTTTGCAGTTTTCTGGTACTATGAGGCATTTGAGGAGTCAGACTGAACTAAAATTTAAGTAAGGTATCCAACATGGCGAGTACTATGCTCTGCAGTGTCCATAGGGCTAAAAAAAATCAGATTTTCTTTCTACCCACAAAACGTGTAAGTTTGGCTGATTTATAGTGAGAGCTGAACTATAAATTTATACCACATGTAAACCTTCTGAAATATTTTAAATCTCGAGTAACTACATCTTGCCATCTGTCTACAAGAGAGAAGAGGATACTTGTGGAGCATAGACAGAAATGGGATCAAGGTGAGCAACTAAAGTAAACTTGAATATTTTAAGTTAAGTTCAGCCATGGGAACAGTAAAACTTATAAAGTTAATGAGTTCTAGACTTTAAAGAGCAGTTGATTAATTTGTAACAATGAGGGTCTAAACCAAACCAAAAATAGTTTCTCACATTCCAGAGTTGAACCAGTAGTCTTTTCTTTAGCGATGCTGTTATTGAAACTGCCTTAGAATTGACTGCCTGCCTGTACATTCCTTTTCTTTATATAGGTATAGCGAACCCAAGCGCACCATATTTTCAACTTTAATAAACCTGCAATGTGTTTTGCTCTCTTTCAAGTTTCTGATGTAGAAAGAAACAAGGGAAAAGGATTCTTAGAAAATCTGATACCAAAATTAACAGTCATTAAGCTGAAGTATTAGAAAATCTTGCAGTAAACTAGTACTAAAAGTAACTACCAGAATAATAAAAAAGGAGAAAAGATGAGGATCATTTTTAGCTAACATAGTAATCGCATCCTCTTTACCTGAACCTTCGTTTAAATTACATAAACTTCTGGTAGTCTGAGTACATGCTGAAGGACTGCAAAAATCATACAAAGAATAGAATGTGAAAAAAAATGCATAGAATGAAAAATAAAAAATAAGCTGCCATAAATAAATGGGGTTTTTTTACAGCTGTTCTGCAATTAACACTAATAACACATTATGAAGTAAATTTTAGTTCTCTGCTATCAGAAGTTCAAAGGTATGCCAATATTCAATTTATTTTTCTAAGTGAAACCAGCATATTTTGATCTTTAAGTAACTGGATAGTCAAATATAAGCTCAACAACAATATTATTATATAATTGTCTTTTGTTCCATTGTACAAAGTGCTACAGAGTATTTTAGTGCAACATCTTGACCTGCCACTTCCACATAGTGAGTGCTACGGAGTATAGGAAGTAGCTGGACTCCAATCTTTAAAGCAGTCTGTAACTGTCCTCATTTGGGTGATACCTGTGTTACCTTTAGTGTAGGATAAAGAAAAGTGGCATGGTCAAAATAGAGAAAGAACAAGCACTGACAGTTTGTGAGTAGCTAGGTAACTGGATAATAACGTCTTATAATAGATTTACAAATTCTAAATTTTTCTTTGAGGATACTTGAACTTCTGTACTTAAAAACATTTGAAATTATTTCTGTTTTTTATATATATCCCCATTCATGTGCTGACAAAAGTCTCATTTGACCTTGTTAACTGTATTACAAGGAAAATAAAAAAATTGTTTAAAGTTCCCAAGTTAATCTTCCTTTGCCCATGCTCTTCCCAAGAGAACAAGACCATATTATGTGACACAATTATGACAGAAGTATATATTATGAAAATTATTTAAATTAACCAACACATTTATACTACATTTTATCTTCACATTTTCAAGTGTGAGTTTGATTTATAAGGAAAGACATTAAATTTACACAGATGTATCCTGGCAGGCAGCTGGAACACAATCAAGCTTAGATTTATATTCAGAAAACAAAGAAATGTGAGAAAACATGTGCTTTTAAAAAAAAAAAGGAAAAAAGAAAAAAAGCCCAAACTGAAAAGTTGTTTTTCAGCT